ACCCACCTTCTTACTACAACTAAATGATTATTCTATGTTTACGCTCAAAGGTCAAAATTCTTATCCACTCAGTAGACTTACAGTTTCTGCTTCATGCTGGAGCTGGGAAGGACTGTCTGTGGTGTCACTAGCCTAAAATCAAGGAACAAACAAATTAAAAAAATCACTAACAGAGCAATAATATCTTACTGTGTTATGAAGGTGTTTGGTACATATTTAAACAGTGAACACTTTAATGCTTGTCAGTGTTAGCCTTCTGGGTTGTAACACTATATGAACTTGTAGGTGAATAACAAAGTTTTAGAGGATTTGTCTGGAACACTGATATCTACCTATCACAAGGTGTTATGACCCACAAAACCAATACTGACATTTTTACCGCAGTGAGAACCTCAAATCTTATTTTAATGCTCGTCTGCCGAAAACAAAAGGTACACAACACGCGTTCATACAGGAGAGCTTTAAAAAGTTCTGGGAAAGACGTAAATACAGCAACATTGTTTCGATACACCGCGGCCTGGTGCTGCACGTCAAGAAACATGCCCCCAACACTAGCAGTTGTGTGATACGTTTCACACGAGATTGTAGTGTGTGGAAAGTTACAAAGTCAGAAAAGAAATGCCTTGAGCAGCACCAAATCGTGCCAGTGATTTCAAATATCAACAACAGAAGTAATGCCGACAGCACAGGGTAAAAACTTGAGGTTACAATCCAAGATGTTTGAGTGGCATCACAGATGTAATGACACATTGAATCGGAAGATAAATGCTACAGGAGACGACCCACGGCACTGCAGAAGGAAGACATTGTGAGATAGACACAGGTGGTCGTTAGCTCCTACCACACAGCAGAGTTAGTAAGAACTGCTGTCAGTAGCTGCCACAAAGATGTGAAGATACATCACGTCTGCCAACATACTGTGCAAAGAGGGCTAATGCAAAAACAGTACAACAGCCACCTAAGTATTAATATGGGCGTATCAAGGTTGTGGATAACAATCTGGATTTCAATGATGATGGTCTGGGTTTGTAACATCATGCAGACTTGTTGGCAGATACCAGTATTTTGAAAAAACAAACTGCCTTCATCTTTAACCTCAAAGTGCTGGTATGTACCTATGAGACTACAAGGTATCACAACCAACAACAACAACACCGTCATCCTCAATGCCATACAAACCTGAAATCTTGCATATCTGGACCTTCTCCAATAGCCCGCCACTGCAGATGAAAGCTGGTATTCCCTGTATGATCCCAAAAGTAAACAATACTTTACGTGAAGTCACTACTGTCACCAAGAACCAGAAAGTTCCAGCAAGACTGCTCAAAAGGGAATGTGATGTTGGTAAACGTTTGTGAATGGTAAGACATCATTCATTGTGAATTTATTCCTGAGGGTGCTATGGTCAACAAAGAGAGGTTTCAAAGCGTGCTGTATATTGGACCCAAATCACCTGAAATGTCTTCAAATATGGGACGCCAAAAACTGGGTACCCTGCATGGAATCCTTGCCTACTCACCATTACAGTCATCATCCTGTATCATTCAACGTTAAATAATATAAAAATCAATCAACCAATAATCATTAAAAATAAATGGCATCATGCATCGTTATCAGTCAGTTACAAGAACGCATTCCATGTAAACTGGTACGACTCAATAGTTAGTAAATGCAAGCAGTTTTAATCATCGCACTTACCAGAATAAGACTGCACGTTTAAATTGTAAAGAGGTCAGTTCTACAACAGTTCTAATGAGGAACTGATAATATTTATAATAAGCCTACATTACGCATAATTTTACTTAAAAATAAAATAAATGCATATGAACATCCGACACACTATTACACATACAGGTAAGAGCTACCTCTCCATTCTCGCCCCCAATAAATCCATCTTCCTCACCAATTTCATTGCTGCTGTTTTCCTGACCACCAATGTGTTGCATGCACAAAACAAAAAACATGCCATATCAAAAAACTGGCAACATTCAGAATACAGAGGATAAAAAAGATATAGCATACATAATAACTACTAGAATGAAGGTCAAATAATGACAAACACAACAAAGCCACAACATTGTTAGCCCTTTGCGGTTCCTTTTAAATACCACTACGGCTCTCTGCTGGTCTATTTAAACGCCACTAAGCTGTATACTTTCAACTAGTATTATGAACTGTTTTGATTTTCTTTTTAACTTGCATAAGACGGAAGACACTTTGCTAAATATGGTGAAAATATGTTCTGAGTGGATCACAGTTCCTCTTGTATGAATACTGACTGCGTGAAATATTTTTCACGGACTGTACCACTGTCGCTAGCGAGATGTGTAATAAGTGGTGCCTTTCTGCTTCCCGTCGTTTGGTAGAGAATAAAGCAAGGCCAAGTCGGTAGATATGACTTTGGCGACGTCTAAATATCTCTTATTGCGTGCAGATATACGATGTATAAGCATTGGATTTCATATTCTCAGAGCCATGCTTCCTTTCACGCTAATTGTGTCAGAAAGATCAAGACTAAGTTCGACACCAGGGAAGTGAACACAACACGAAGTGTAAACGATGAAGTCACTACACATAAATAATGCTTGATAAGAAGACAAAAGAATATGCACATGTCAGTGGTAGATTGCTCTATGCGCCAAAAATAATTATAAAAATATAATTTCCTACTGGGAAGATAAAATATTTGTTTTAAGACTTTATTAGATATAAAATACTTCTATTCTAAGTAAATATGACAGCTACACACACGATGATATTACGTCTCTGTATGATGTATGGCAAAACACTTGGTGTGGAGTCCTGGCTTCCTTGGACACGTGTCAAAATAAAACGACTTTTCTTTCCTGCCTCCTTTCACTGTTACAAGGTTCACAAAGTCTTACCGGGAAAACTAGGATAGAACTAGTACAAAGAAGAAGGCTTAAATGATATGCTGACACAGTTTGCCAGAACCAGTTTGACTCCAGATCTCGTAAAAAAATCGTAAAATACGTGGCGGACTCAGACCGACATCGGACCGGAACTCAGATATTTAAATGTCGGACGGAGTCCGACAGAGACCGCAAAGAGTTAAGTATCCAGGGACAAAAACCTAACACCAGGCTTAAGAATTTGTTGTATGTATTACGATTCACATGCTCATTTCACAACAAGACATGAAGCTAAAAAACTATTTTATACCAAGATCACAGAAGTATACTTCATGCCCTCTGCTGGATTTCCAGCTCTTTCATTCTACATAATGGAAGAAAATAGAGAAAAATATTTCACGTCCTATTACTGTGTACGCACAACACTAAAATTACTGGTATTACATTCTAAATGCTACTGTCAGCTCTTAAAATCGAGGTGTTTTTCCCAAACTGATTTTTACATCGTAGGCTTACATCATGCAACTGAATAATGGAGAAGCAAAGCCATGTCATAAATATGCATTTCTAGTCTTCTTATGTTTCCAATGTGCATAAAGGCTTCACATTTTCTCACCTGATTAACTGCTGGATCATTTTCTCTTCTATTAGCTTCAATGTCGTCTACACTAATGTGAAACCGCCTCTGAAATTCCGTAACTGCAGATTCCAGACTACGCTCACGAACTTGATCATTACAAGTTCCAGCATTGCTGAAATAAAAAAGCATATTTAAATCAAACTATTCATTGCTTAATTTGGAGTTGTTCAAACACATTACATTATTCTTTTCTGAATCTGTAGCCAAAAAAAAACAAAATCATATTATTTTTGTTCAGTTTCGTTACCTACGAATATAAGTAATGTAGGCAAGGCTAGCACGCAGTCAGGAATACAAGGCTCGAGCAAGCACATAAGTCACGGACCGCTTCTACAGCCGGACCAGTGCCCTGAGGATGAGAACAGCATAGTTCTCAAAATGTTGGTGCTTTCTTCACCAACTCAACAGACACGGCTGACAACCCGAAAGTCATCGTATTGAAATCGCTGTGATGGCTTTAAATCTTGCTACCTGGCACCTTATGCATACTTAACTTGCCAGAATGAGTTTAGGGACGCATATCCCAAATCTCCTGTGCCAAACAAATCAACGTAGGAACCCGTCACCAGGCTGCATCCAACACGAGGAACAAATCAACGTAGGAACCCGTCACCAGCCTGCATCCAACATGAGGGAAAAAGAGTGAATGCACGCATCGCTAAAAATAGTGGACATTGCTTTTTGTTTTATAATTTCAATGTTATTTATTACTGACAAATAGAACATGTGTCAGCAAGGGCTGCATGTCTTTTCAATAACCCTGAACTGCAGAACTCTTTCATCAAGTCTAACATTAGGCTGGGACATGATTCTCCAAATGTTGAACTGGGTTCAGCAAGCACTTTCATGTGGACAGTGGTCTTCTGGGACTTGTCGGAGGTACCAACATCTTGGAGGAACATACTATCTTTGCCATGGAAACTTCACAAACTTCACAAGAACTTTCATGCTTCTGTTCTACGCACATCAAACTACCACCAGGCTGATTTTTACCAGATTGCTGTATACTGATGGACTAAGTCTGACACTGGACCAGAATGTGATTTTTGTTAATGCCTGACTGAGTATAACAGATAACTGAAGCTACAAACACGGAGTTGAACTGGAACACAAGAATATTCTTCAGACTGATTCTCAATGAAACCAACGTATTCAAGCGGATTAAATCCTTGATTCTAAGACAACGTTATCTGGATGACTGGACAGGAGACTTAGGTCTTTAAGAATTACACAGAAACAAAGCAGAAAGCCTCCAATGGAAAAGTCCTGTCTCAAGGACCAAAAAAGTGTGAATGTCAAAATCAGGGGCCAAAACCACTGTTTTGAAATCTTAACTCCCTGAAACAGAGTACTTAAATTTCTGATGTCCTTTACTCCCACTGTATCTAACTCGTACACTGCTAATTTTCTTGCTACTGTTTTAAAATAACCTGACCTACAGAGACTGCTGATATTCAAAGTTCCAAATACGATGCCCATTTTTTTTACTTAGGTCATTCCAAAAGTATTCATCCAAGTCTGAGGCCCCGTGCAACATTTTGTAACACGGTACTTTTTATACCAATATCATGTTAGATACTGTCCATTACCAGAGACATTTGATATACATAACATTCTGGGAGTTTGATCATCTTATTCTTCTTTCATCATCTTTATTTAATACATGTCAATGATGTGAATTGGCTCTACTCCCAAAACATTTTGTATATCTACTATACCTCAAATAATTGACAATATAAAATATGATACAGGCATAATAAATCAGCAAGTCACTAACCTTTAGAGAATAATGCTAGTTGTGTATGGCGAAGAGGTCTTAGCCCCCCGCTCAACCCCTAAGCTGGAGGATCACCCCTTGTTGGCTGTCTGCTGCTTACTCAATATATTTGCAGCTACCCTCCATACCTTGAGGCAGTTTCCTCCATCCACAACCTGAGGATGCACCATGAAGTGGTGACAAGGGACTCACTTTCAGTTTCAAAGGCAACTCAACTACAAATCTGTCCCTCCAAAACAAAGAACCAAGTAGGATAGTACTTTAAATTAGGCCAGGACTGCTTCCTTCCATATCATTCACTATCATCCTCTCACTATATAGTCAAAGCTAGTGAAAAAGCATCATCAAATGTTGGGATTGCTTGACATCCTTAAATATTAAGGTAATAAACAAACCTCCACATGTAGTGAGAAATACTCCATATGCATTTATGTTCCCTTGATTACTAATTTATTCACATTATGCCAAATTGCTTGATAAAAATGTCCATAAATCATACTTCAAAATACAATTTCTGTTTCTAACTCATTAACTCAACTATCATATTTTTTGTTCTTACTTCTCACTAGCAAGTTGGGCTTGGAGATGAATAAGAAACTAGTGAAGTGTTACGTATGGAGCAGAGACTTGGACACTCAGGAAGAAGGAACAGAAATACCTGGAGAGTTTCGAAATGTGGTGTTGGAGAAGAATAGAGAAGATCAGGTGGACGGATCGAGTGACCAACGAAGAAGTATTGAGGAGAGTCAACGAGCAAAGAAGCATTCTGCAGGCGATTACACGAAGGAAAGCTAACTGGCTGGGACATATTATGAGAAGGAATGGACTAATGAGTGATATCATCGAAGGCCAGGTTGAAGGAAAGAGAGGACTAGGAAGAAGATTGATACAGCTAACCGACGACCTTAAACAAGGAAAGAAGATGACGTTCCAGGAATTAAAGCGAGAAGCCAAGAATAGGGACAACTGGAGAGCTCTGTTTGGGCAGAGCAATGGACCTGTCGTAAGACAGAATACTGAATAATAATAAACTTAACAGTCTCGTTATTCATTAAAAAAATTAACCTGCTGTTTCTTTTCACAGAAGTGAAAAGACCAAAAATTATGAGTTGGGGGGGTGTGTGTGTTTTTTTTTCTTCTTCTTCTTCTTCTTTCTCCCCTGGAAGTCCTAATTTGTCTTAGTTTAAGTTCTGTGATAAAGGCATGCTATGTCACATATCTATGACATTTTCCATTGTCCCATCTTTTTGTTAAAAACATGTTTTGGTAGTTAGTTCTGCTTTTACCACCAGAAAAAAGCATGGAAACTACTCTACTGGGCCCTTAAATAGGGCTAGTGCAGGGTTTGGTATGAGCTCTAGTATATTGACCTAACAGAATAGGATTTTTCATCTTATCCTGTCACTTGATGAAGGAAATAAGACCTCTTCTGAAAAACATTGCTCAAAGAAATTGGGGAATGGATAAAGTCCAAAAGATTAGTCATAAAACATTTTTTTGCAACTTAAAAAAGATGACTGTCTTGTGGGTCGTAGCACTGTGTAATCTGGTATAATTTTACACATGGCGCTACAACCTAGAAGACAGACATCATTGGACTCATCACCACGAAACCTCAAACCCCTCTTGTAATTTATAATTTCCCAATACAGTGAAACCTCTATCCATCATTCCCGGAACTATCGTTTTCCCGGATGCATCGTCCGTTTTGTTCGGTCCCGAATACAACCCATATAAAATAATGTTACATTTTCCCGCTTCTATCGTTCCTCGAACTATCGTTTTATCGCATCGATCGTTCAAAAATCTTAGTCCCGGCCCACAATTTTCCCGCAATGATCGTTCCTGAGAATTTAAAATGCTGGGTTTAGAGATAAATTAATACCGAAAGACGCACAATGTTTTTGGAATACGCAGTAGCGGTAACCTGTTATGTCGCCCAACCAGCACAGATTCTTTTGGAATGAGGGGTCAGCGGTGCAGGGGTGATAATTGGAGTGAATGGCGGTGCCCATTGTCAGAAATTTTACGATTTTAATTAGGGTGCACTCATATTTCGTTCCAGCGATGCCAGATGGCATGTGCAGTGTGAATTTCTTCACAAATGCTTTTATTACAAGTACAAAGGAAAGGCTGGCCGCACTTTCATTCTTCTGGTTCATCTCGTTTCCGGCGGTTCAGGGTCTTCTACAGCTACGTTTCGTTGAGTTCGGCAGTAATATTATTTCCATTCTTCCTGTTATTGTTCGCGAGGGCTGGGGGGGAGTGGTGAGGAAGAGGAAGACGACGAATGCGAGCCCGAAGCTGTGCCGAGTTTTGCCGAAGCACACGCTGCATTGGCAAAAGTGAAGTCGTTCTTTTATGCGCATAATATTAGTGAACGTGACGAGGAAAACATTTTGAACGTGGAAAGGGCTCTGTTTGGCCTAAAACGTAAAGTTTCGACAAACCAGTTGTCCATTAAAGACTTTTTTGGTAAAAAGATGTAACTTTGAAAGAGAAACATTGTTTTTTTAAATTTTTAATGCTTTCCCGCATCTATCGTTTTCCCGCATTCATCGTTTTTATTTCCCACCCCCGCCGAAAACGATGCATCGAGGTTTCACTGTAGTACAAACTTCTGGGCCAGTGCCCTGAAAAATTTATATGGAAGTTCCAATATACGTTGTTCATTATGCATTATATAAGGTCATATAGAAGGCCATTCTGTTTTATTCAACTACTATACTGGTAACTGATTAAAACTAAAATACTTATATTTACAGCAGATTCTGGTTAATTGGGCCATCGGTTAATCGGGGCAGCCATTTATTTAGGACTAATCTTAAAGAACAAACCTTTATCTCTTTGCGTGGAATTTCGCATAATTGGTGCAGCTGCTTAATTGGGCCAAAGTGTTCTAGTCCAGATGTGTTCCAATTAACAGGAATCCACTGTATATCCTGTACGGTAACTTAAAAGGTAATTAATGACAAAGAACAAAAAAAACATTCTTACTTGAAGGTAGGCCTTTCCCACTGAGTAGAACGAGCTATGTGATTCACGAAGTAGGTACGGCCATTGGCATCTTGTCGCTCTTCCCACCCATGCGGCAGAGGTGTCAGCTGCTCCTGATTCTGCACAAACACCGGCTAGACAACAACCAAATCGTCTACTCATACAAGCAAACACTAAGTGTTATTAACTCCACCAATGCCGTAATTGTCAGAGGTAATGGAGTGGTGGCTAAACATAAGAAAAATGCTAGAATATCAGGATTTAATTATGTCGCAAACAAATTCACATCTTGTTGACGTACAACTATGTCTTTTGGGCAAACCTAACAGGTTCAAGAACAAACAACAACAAACCGAAAGCAAAATGGAACACATTTTTAAATATCAATCTAATTATAATTTTACGAAGATCTACAAATCAAACAGCAACGTAATACAGACTGCAGCTCAAATCCTGAGCTTGCAAAATTACTGAAGAACATTCCAGGCAATTAGTTGTTCTCTTTTAAGTAATCTTATTTTAAAATCAAACGTCATGCTCACGTTGTTGACATTTCTGCTTTGTATTCAGCCCTCCAGGCAAATGTCAGGGTAGCACATCAAAACAGACAACAACCATTTTCTTCCATTTTCCCAATTAATTATTCATCTATTATTAAATGCTATATAATCTAAGCTACTAAAAGCATCAGTGAATAAGCCAAGCATAAATAAATATTTCCTTCAGTGCCAATAAACCCTTTCATAATTCTGTAGCAGTATTACTGAGAAATCTCAGTGCAATGACAGACAATATTAACTAAATATTTTATTACTATTGAAATAAGCAGTGTACAGTGGCATGCCATTTATATTAAGTTCAACAAAAATGTCAATTGATGTCTACTATAAAAATGATGTTCATAGTTGAATCTGGAGAGACAGACACAAACTTCTTGCTAACAGAGCACTGAAGGAAAGGAACCATAGGGCTCCTGAAGAACCCAAAAACTGACAACTCATCTCACACCTGGGCAGCAGACTCCACATTTGGTGGGGATGACTCATTCTCAACAATCTCCCAGTCAGGATCTGTTTCCGGTTGTGTGCTCGACACCTCCTCGGCAAGCCTCATCACCTCCTCCTGCGATGGCTCTCGTACAAAAGCGTGGTATATCTCCAGATGACCTTTCACTCGAGACCTGGCACTGTGACATAAAACAGACCTTCAACTACAGACGGTGTGACCCAAAATCATATCTTTGAAGATTCTTGAGCTCATTATCCTTGCTCCCTCAAACCATGGTTGAAACAGAAAACAAGAGTCCTCTGTACACTTAAGAAGTAAAATAGTAAAAAAAACAACTGTTACAGAAACAATAAAGAAAGTAGGAAAACTCAACCAATTAGTTCAATTCTAAGGGGTTTTGACAACAGTAGTTTACATTTAAAATTATTCACTGTCAGGTCTTTCATATCTGGATGACAGTAGTGGATTTTTACTGTGTTTTTATGACGTTCGGGTTTTAATGTCCTTTGACGACTTGGATGCCAACATTTTTTAGCAGGGATTTTACGTAAATTTTTTTGCGGTTTCATAACTGGTCACTTACAGAGCTGTATGAGTGGTCTTGTAATTTTTATTTAATCATTTAAGTATAATAATCTACTGGCAGAACCTGTACTTGGATGGATATGTTGAAATAATTGCACAATTTATATTGTCCAGTGACAGAGGCTAGCTCTCTCTAAGGGACCCAACAGAGTAGGTACCTCTCACCTGAAGATGGAGACAGAACCAGCCTCCGAAACGTCGTGGTTTTAAAGAGCAGACGATGGAAAAGTCCTGACAATGAATAATTTTAAGTGTCAACCAATTAGTGACTTTGGAAATAGGAAATGCCTAAGGAGAAAATGTGAATAATTAAATTAAGAGTAACTGCACATGTGGAGCAGAAACATGGACAAAGGCAGACACTAGCAGACTAACAGAACATTCTGCTGTATGGCATTACTGAGAACTTTACACATCAGCTGTTAAGTCACATGCCACAGCATTCTTGGAGACATCTGAGCCCACTTAAATATCTCTATCTGAAACAAGGTTTAAGCCAATATAAAGAAACAAGAAACTGACTTTTGTGTAACTTGTTGCCACCCTACGTCTGTAATGATAATTGGTATTAACAAAACAGAAAATTCTATTCAAGTCATGAATTGTAATCCGCAGAAACTCTGCTACAACTATCAAATGAGCTACCATAATACAATCACTTATAACATCAAAATCCTGGTTAAAGTACCTTCAAGAAAAAACTTCATTTCTTTCTTGTAACCTCAGTATCCTATAGCACAGCGTTTCTCAACCTATGGTACGCGTACCACTGGTGGTATGCGAGCCAACGTTGAGTGGTACGCGAACTAAGCAAGAAAATCAAAAGATAATATTAACATAAATAAGTTTTCCCTGAACGCATTTGGTTAGTGGTACATTTAACGTGTTAGATTAGAATTAGTGATACGCCAGCAAAAAATGGTGAGAAACCCTGCTATAGTAATTGTATAAAACAGTTCAATATCTCTGTACAACTCAAACTGAATTGTCATCATGCAAAAAGGAATCCTATTATAAAGCACTTAATATAGACATCGCTAACCTGCGTGGGCGTAGAATATACTGCTTGGATGGTACACTCCTTCCTTCTTGCTCCTTGGGTAGATTTAGCAGTGTTAACTCCACCATTCCCAAGAAATCGTCACGAGTCAGCCGGTTCTCATCGAAAACTTGCAGTACGAGTTTATGTTCCGCTGGTTTCACCTGTACAATGCATTTCTAATGGAAGAAGTTTGACAATTTCTTACATGTTATGAATAGGATTTGAAACCAGAATTTTAAACAAGAATGGAAACGTGTGTGCTAAACTAGAGATGACAACTCTGGGAAGCGAACTAAATTAGACTGCCGATAGTATAACTGAAAAGCCGCAAACAAAATTATGACAGTCTCAATTCATAATTTACTGGTGACCAACATATATAACCTGTTGTATAAAGTGAAACTTTTACGGCAAGTGAAGTTTATGAAAGACTCTCGGGCTACAAGCTGTGTCAGGTGACTGAATGGTGAATACACCATACCTTCTGCCAACGTTTCAAGAGCCATCTCTGCTCTCATCCTCAAGGTAGCTGCCCTAAGGATGAGAGCAGAGTTAGCAAACGATATGGTGTATTCACCATTCAGCCGCCTGACGCGGCTTGTAGCCCGAGAGTCTTTCATCGATCACATATAACCTGTGTTAGAACTGAGGTTTTAATGGCAGTGACAATGCTGCTGATATTATTTCAGGTTCTGGAGCCGTATGGACTGGCTGGTAGATGTCAATGTTTCAGAGAAGTGTACTGTCTTCATCTTCAGCCAACACAGTACCAGAACCCTAAAGAATATCATCAACATCTGCTCGACTGGGACGTTGCCACATAGTGTCATATGTGGTTACTAACATTTCAGAGGAACTACCCTAAAAATGAAATAAATAACTAACTAACTAGATGGCTTGCC